TCAATCTTGAATGGCACATTGCCTTTTGAGTTTGATGCTAAAGCATTCGAGAGGACACAATTTTCTCTCAAACTTGTTTCTAGAGGTGATCAAAGAGCATTGGAGAGAATAGCTTTGATTTGAGACTGCTTTTGTTTCCTGGTTGTTCTCTCTTTGGCAGCCAAACTAGCCAAAACCACAAATCATTTAAAATATAGTTTACGAAAATCTTGCAAATAGCAATCCACGTTTTAGAAAAAATGTGGATTTAATTTCATTTGAAGCCAAACAAGGGGTAAGTATATGATCTGATATGTGATAACCACTATTTCAAAAAGTGGACCTTCCAACGCCTGGGGGGCCGCCTAGGTGGATCTGTGGGCCTGGGCGCATCACCCAGGCCTAGGCGCCCAGGATACCGCCTAAGCGGCCACCCAGCGCCCCGCCCAGAGGCAAAAACAGCTTTTGGTGGGGGCATTTTTTGTCTAATTTTCTATACTAAAGGGCGAAAAATGGGGGTTTTAGGTTCATTTGAAACCTAAAACTTATTTGAACCCATTTTAGAGAAAAAGCCCCCAAAAAATAGGTTTTGGTGATTTCTTTAGCATCGAAGGGTTTCTCAAAGTTATGAGAAATTGATCAAAACATCACTCATTGATATTAGATTTAATTTTTGATGTTTTATGAATCTATTGGGGTTTTTTTTAGAAAATTTGAGTCCTTAAAAGCATCTTTGAGATGGAAGTTTGGAGATTAAGCAATCAAACTCAAAGTGATTTTTTTTTAATTGCTTGTATAAATTGCATTATTTTGAGATGTCTTCTTCGAGACTAATAGGAGTGGTGATCCCAGATGTAAATATGGCTACAACCCACATCCTAATGATAAAAATTGCATAAGATGCAATTTTTGTGAGAAGGATACAAAAGGAGGCATAAACCGGTTCAAGAAACATATTGTCGGTATCAAGGGGGATGTTGCCCCATGTAAAAAGACGCCTGATGTTGTTAAAGAGGAAATAACCAATTTTTTTAATATGATAAAATTGAAAAAAGAGGGGAGATTTGTCTCCATAGCAAAGATTAAGTCGGGTCAATTATGATGATGATGATAGTGATGAGGATAGGATTGGCGAGGGATGTCAAGAGGTAGAAGCAAAACAATCCATTATTAAGGGAAATGGAAAGGGAGTTGTAATTGCTTCTAGTTCTGGTTCTGAGAGTAAGAAGCCTCGAGTTAGAGGTCCTATGGATAGTTTTTTGCCTCGGCCTGACCTTGAGGTTGCAGGAAAGAAAACAAAGAAGCAAACCACCATTGAAAATAGAATGAAGAAGGAAGAGAGAGATAACTGATTATTATCTTGCTACATGGTCTTATTCCTTTCAATACCGTTCGCTTAAGCAGTTTCTATGCCACGATAGTAAAGGCAATTAGCCAATTTGGGCCTGGGATGAAACCCCCAACCCAATATGAGCTTTCAGAGCCTCTTTTGAAAAAGGGGGTGAGTGTAACAAAAGAAGCTGTAGAAGTTAAGCATGCATGGGCTCAGTATGGGGTTTCTATCATGACGGATGCTTGGAGTGATAAGAAGAGAAGAAGTTAGATGAATTTGCTTGTGAATTGTCCTTTAAAGACTATTTTTTTTAGGTTTATTGATGATTGTGATCATATTCATGATGCCCATTACATATTCCAAGTTATAAAGAAGGGAATCAAGGAGATTGGGGAGCATCATTTTGTACAGGTTGTCACAGACAATGCTGCTCTTAATGTTCCTGCAGCTAATTTGTTGCGCATAGCTAATCCTAGAATCTTTTGGACACATGTGCAGCACATTGTATAGACCTCATGCTTGTGAGGCATAAGGTTTCCAACACTGAAACTAATTAAAATCTATACGTAGATTTACAAAGAAGAAAGAGATTGTGAGGCCTGGTGTCACGAGATTTGCGACATGGTACGTATACCTAGATAGCATACATTCGAGGAGAGTGCAGTTGAGGCAGATGTTTACCTTGGATGACAGGAGAGCATACAAGTGGTCCAAGGATCAGGTTGGAAATAAGATGAGAGATATTATCCTTTCTAAGGCTTTTTATGAGATGAAGGGCGCTCTTAAGGTATTTTTTCCTCTTGTCAAAGTCCTCTGCATGGTTAATAATGACAAGCCTTCTATGAGCTATATATAGAGGCTATAGAGAAATGCAAAAGAGAGAGCCCAAAATTTTGATGATGATAAGAACTGCTACAAGCCTGTTTGGGAGATTATTGATGAGAAATGGGATAGGTAGCTACATCGGCAATTGCATGCAGCTGATTATTATTTGAACCCAGTGTGTAGATGTGTTAGTCCCTAATCTTGATATCCAGTATATTATATGTGCAGATGAGCGAATAAATTACAAGTGCTCATTAAAGTCTCTTGGGAGTTTAATGGCAATGAGGCAAAGGACCAAAATTGATCCAGATAGTAATAATATTCTTAAGTTCAACAAGTTCAAGTAATCAAGTTTCATTTTTATAATTCTATTATTTATTTATGATTTTATTTTATATCTTTGCAGCCAATTGGTGGAGCCAACATGGGTGTAGTTCTGCAAATTTACAAAAGTTGGCCATTCGGATTTTAAACCTAACCACTTCCTCATCCGGTTGTGAGCGCAATTGGAGTACTTTTGAAGGGGTAAGGCGGTAGGGGTAATTTGTATAATTGTATTAATAATACATTAACGATAGATTTTAATTAGTTTCATTTGATTTTGTTAGATTCATACAAAGAAAATAAACAGGCTTGAATCAAAGAGGCTCAATGATCTAGTTTATGTCAAGTATAATCGATTCTTGAAGGACAGGTTTGCTAAGAGAGATAAGAGAGACCCCATCAAATCAAAAAATATGGACAATGCTATAAAATGGTTAGTTGATGATGATGAGGTCAAGGGGCATGAAGGATTGACATAGGACATAGTCATGGATGCTTCAGGGACATCAGCTGACCCTCCTAGGGCCACTAGATCTTCTACACAGAGAACGAAGGTGGAGGAGGAAGAGGAAGAGGAAGAAAAAGAGGCAAATTCAGAAGAGATGGAGGATGACCAATATGTCGAGGAGGGTAACAACTCTGATGAATATGATGTCAATGCAGCTGAACTTAATTTTTTTGATGATGAATGATGATGTTGAATAATTATTAAACTTTGAACTTTGATTGAACTATTGTCTATTGAAGATTAGTCATTGTTCCTCATGGTGGTGTAATACTGCAATGTGATTTGTGGATAGTGGATTTGCAGTTCCACTGGATTGGTACTATTTGGTAACTTTGGTTTGGTAATTTGGTTGGTTGGTAAATTTTAAGTTTTAATTGGATATGGATTATGAACCGACTTATGGTTATGCTTATGGAGTGTGCGCTAATGTGTAATATACTTTGAAATCTAATGTGCTTTAAATACTTAATTCTTATATTTTATACAATATATAACTGTAGAATCCTTTTTGGATTCAACTGGGCCGCCCAGGTTCTAGGCGCCCGCCTAGGCGCTAAACGGCCTGGACCCCCCAAGCCGCCTAGGACCCGCCTGGCGCTTTTTGAAACACTAGTGATAACACCACTGCCTTCAAATTAAACATCTCTAGGGTCTCACTTATGGGCATATATCATACTTTCAGAAGATGACAATGTTGTGTTTTCAAATTCAGAGCAATGAGACTCCCTGCATATATCATTTAAAGATGCATAGACTGAAATTAAAACAAATCCTAGAGGTCGTTTAAAACAAAGTTCTCCACATACAAGATTCTAAAAGAAGAAGTGTAGATAAGCTTGAAGCAAAAGATATGATAGGACATCTAGAACAATTGAGAAAGAAAGTAGATTATATATATTACGCAATGAAGGCAAAGGAAGGAAATGTGCAAATCAGTAGATCTTAGGTCCTGATGCACAGAAAAAGTATCATCATCAAATAATTTGTATAATCCTTTTCTCAATGATTTATGTCTTTGCATCGTAGTATAATATGCACAGATCCCAGATTCAATGCAAAATATAATAAGGAAATTCATGGTTATGAGATGCTGAATCGAAGTTTCGAACTTCAAAGAGAAGGTCTGAACATTCACATAATGAAGTATTTCATAAGAAACACCCTAATGCATAATTATTCATTATACAGCCAGGATTTTAAAATTATTTTGTTCTTATAAATTATTGTAAGTTGTCTTGCATCTTAATTTTAACTGCTCCCCCATCTTACAGTTCATGGTCCCAATTAACAACATAATTCGATACTACTGTTCTGCTCTATTATCTGTTGAAGCATTGGTTCAGGAACCATTGTTAAGTTTACATTGACATTTGTAAGTTTGACAAGCAAGGCAAGACTTCACATACAAAGAACCTGAGCTTTCAAAGAAAATGTTGATAAAATTAAAAAGGTACTAAAAATTACAGATACAGTTGCAAACAATTTGCAAAGCTCTCAACACTTCACACTGACTATGCCTCACAAACAAACAGAAAGTACATTAATATGACATCCAAGTGAGATTGTAAAGAGTAAATCAACTCCTTCATATAAATTCATTCAAATAGCTGGATTATCTAAATGCTGAATAACGGTCCAAGGAGATCATTAATGGCTAATGAAGAAACTTTTCCAATAAGCTAGAAATGCAATACAATGATTCAGACTACCATTTTCTGTGCATCCCTCGTTTTTTTAAAAGCACTCTGCATCTCTAGTTTCAGTGAATAACTCCAAACAAATTCAGAGATAAATTAAAAATAACAGCCAATGGGATTTGTTCATAATTGATTAAAATGCTCAAATAATATCCAGAAGAACTACAAAAATGTCACAAGAGAAAACGAAATCCAGAGTGATTCGCTAAACCCACTTTCTCACAAATCAATATCAGGATTCAATACAATGCTCAACTGTGCCCACAAAATTGAAAATAATAAATTAAAAAAGAATCAAAAGAGACCAAAATCCACATTTTTTCACATAACCTACCTTCTCTGTAAGCGGGCGCTTTGGAGGCTTGTAACTCTTCTGGAAAAACAGGTAAATAAGAGCTACAACAAGAATAGCTTCGACCACAAGATGCCCTGGAACCATTAATACATAACATGAGAAGAAATCATAAAAGGGAGATAAAAGTGAATGTAAGACCTGAAGCTTGAGAGCTCGAAGGCCCAAAAAAAAAGATAAAAAAGGAAATTATGGCAAAGCGAAGGCCTAAAAAAAAGATAATAAAGGAAATTACAGCAGAACTAACCATGAATGCGGAAGCCCAAGACCACAGAGGGAGCATCAAAGGCAGCCATGAACAGATTCAGAGTATTGAGAAAAGAGAGCATCATGGCCTCCCAACCACCACTGATTTGCTCGTTCATGGCGAAGTGTTGGAGATTGAGTATGTATGAGAAAGCGTTCAGTAGATCTCAGATCCTCTGAAAATGAATGCCCGACTGCTAACAGTAGGAATGTTTTTCCCGGTTTCGACAGTTCAGTTTGTCAAAAAGCGCCGGTTTAACGCTGGTTGGACTGAAATTTGAGGCAGCCTTGTGGGTTAAAATTCTCGATTGCACACGAATCAAAATGGAACTGGTATAATTTGAGTAACGTTGCAACTGTAAATAATAAATAAATTAAGGTGTACTTCCAAATCTGTTCACCAGATCTAATTTTGGTGTCGACGATTCTTAAGATGATAATCTATTTTTATTTTTAATTATAAAATTTTGAACTTGAAAAATACACCAACATTTTGAAAATAAAGTGTCCCGATAATGTGTTGAAAGATGGACTAAGATAGGCAAAAGTGTTTATAAGGTTGAGGCCTTAATTTGTAGAAGGACTCGGTTTCCATGCGGCCATGCCCGCATATGTAAAAATTCGAGCTTCTTAATAAATTTATTTTTGTGATGGATTTTTGGATTTAATTTTTAAAGATATCTAATCTCTAACATGGACATCATGAATATGAAAAAATAAATCAATTTTTAAAACTAAAAGTAATAATTCTTGTAAGAAAACATTTGGACTGTTAGCTTCCGTTGCTTTTAGATGGAACACCTATTTACATCCATCTTAAACATCCATTTTTAAGATGGATGCTTTACACTTTCTGGATCGCATATGTAGAAATGGGGTTGCCTGCATGAAGCAATTTTCCATTGTAGAATAAGGGTGTACCTATATCTAAAAACGTTGTTCTGACATTGAAAAACAATCTAATTGATCATCTTGGCGTCTAGAGCTGGAGATACGATTAAAAAAAAAAAGATTTTAAGTCCTGAAAATTGTCCATTGTGTAATACATTATCTGTCTCTTTTCAATATTTTCATGCATTTAAAGATCTGCTCGATTTAAACTATTTTTTAATATTAAAATTTTATAACTAGAAATGAAAATGGTTTCTCTGGACATCCTTAAAAATTTTCAAAGCTACACCTCATGACAAAGTTTGGAGGTGCGTCTTGGTTTACCTATTAAGATATAAGATGCTTTAAAGTGTGAATTAAGCGTAAGATATGAAATCCAATAACTATTTTAAAGGTTGAGATTTGTATGAAGTTGCCTCTTTATAATGTAGGGCACACCTCTAAAATTTGTTTAGAGATGTTGTTTCAGTGTTGGAAACCTTATGCTGGCTTAAAAATCCCTAGTTATAAATTTAAAATTTAAAAAATATTATGAATCGAGTAGATCAATAAATACTTGAAAATCTTGAAAATAAACAGTCAAAATAACTAGTCACAAGATGTACTATTTTTTTGGACTTGGAATTCTTTTTTTCTTCATATCTACATATCTCAAGCTTGAGATGATCAATTAGAGGGTTCTCCAACATGGGATATTTGAGGTACATCGTACTTCAATAGCATACAGTTGCAACATCATATAAAACTTTTGCCATTTCTAAATACTGATAACAAAATGGGATTTTTTAATAAAATTCCCCTATTTCACAACATAAATTCCCTTATTTATTTGAACTATTAATTTTGATCTATTTATAATGCTATTAAATCATTTTGATAATGCAACATCAATGAACTCTCTTCCATCTAAAAGTATACACATATTCATTGCTAAAATAATTCATGCTTTTTATGTGAGCATACTGTTTATTTGCTTCCAAAGGCAAAACCCAAGCTAGGGATATTTTTAGCACCCCAAATTTTGGAGATGTATCATCTTCAACCTAAAAAAATAATGTCTTAAAAAAATTTGAACATCGATCATCCAATTTTTGGACAGCGTGATCTAACTGTTAGAGAACTTGAAATCCTTTTTTCTTTTTTTTTGGTTAAAAAAAAGTATTGAGTCGGTTATTTTTAAGTGGATGCCAAATTTTAGGTCCAACGAAACTCCAAAAGACATCATGTTGAGGGGAGCTCAGTGTGTGGGATACCTTCATTATAAGCACCCTTTGAACTTATCATCTCACTATTTATTGGTCTCTTTTATCTATTCTTTTTTAATAAATTGAAATTTTAAAAAATTGGGAAAGAGATTTAGAGACATATGATCTGGAAATTAAATAATTTCAGGAAAAAAAAGAAGTTTCGAGGTTTTAAGCATTTAGTTCAATGCCCACATATAATTTCCAATTCAATTGGTTTGCATCATGAAATCCACGTGAAAAGGTTTTCGTACTTCTCCTAAAGCATAGAAGATCTAAACTTCCCTACCTGATAGCTGTCCAATTTACATCAAGCGAGTCATTGGCTATTTGATCAAGATCTGACGCCTCAGGGTATTTTATTTTTAGTTTTTCTTTTACAATTTGTTTGAAAATGAATTTTGGTATGTGCTATCTATTTAATGAGTCGCACCTAAAAAAATATTAAAAATATTTTTTTGATAAGATATAATGATCAAAATACTTTTTAAAATTTTCAGGGGTATTTTCGTTATTTTATTTTATTGAAATTTTATTTTATATTTTTTATAAGTGCAAGTGTAATAATTTATAGAAAAAAATTAAAAATAAAATAGTGTAGAGACATGACATTGTAATTGAGACCATCTTAACCGTCTAGTCAGAATAGACGGTTAAATAGGGAGAAATATATAAGTTTTACGCAGTAGGGGAAGCATAGAAAGCTTGCCCTTTTCTATTTGTTCTACTCATTACCTTACGGTTCCTATACCCATGACTACGTGCCATGATTCTACTTCAATCCGGTTCCTATCCCCATGAGGGCGTGCCATGGTTCTACTTCAATCTTGTGTTGACTTAATCTTCCCATATATTTTATCGTTACATTGGCTTTGCTAACTAGTCACTTTGCTAGGATACTTTCAAGTAGTCCAGGTCCCTCTAAACGAAGTGATCTTGAGAGAGAGAGTATCAACTAGAAGGGTCCTCAGACCGGCAAGAGCTTTCAATTTGAATAGGAGGGTGGTGATACATCAATGGCAATGGCAAAAGGAACTTAATCATCCAATTTCATAGAGATGTCGAGGTTTCGCCTAAGCATGCAAGGATCTAATGGGACTTTCTCCTTGCGTTCTAGAGGAGGCCATGGAGGCGGAGGAGAAGGAAGCTTACAACCAGAAACGTCAGGCTCGAGTAGGGTTAGACCTGCTAATTACAGTGATGCTCTGATGCTCGGGCCTCAAGCGAGTAGGTCTATTATAGAAACAGTGTAGGTTGTGGAGCTGACTGAAAGAGCTATGGAACCTTAACATCGGATGCTTAAAATTGCACTTGTTTGTTCCTTTGGTCCACAACTTCAAGATTAAGATTTGAGCAATTTTTCTAAGTGGTGTCGGTCCATTTGGAAAAGTTGTTATAGATATAGGCTCATTCGAAATGGTAGAGCGTTAATAATCTTTAATGAAGCATCTGAAGCTAGAAAAGTTTGTAAACAAAGATTATGGAGTTTTAATGGAGTATTAATGACACTGGAATGGTGGCATCCTAAGGCCTCAGCTTCATTTATGCAGCTGCCATCGGTGTGGTTAAGAATTGAAATGGTACCCATTCATTCACACATGGACTATGGATGTTTTTAATATTTTGGCTGAAGAATTTGGGAAGTTATTATAGGTTGATTGGCATACTTCAGTTGGTCATACTTTGGGTTCCTTGCGTATCAAAGTTTTATTCTTTGCCTGAGAAGCAAGTTCTTGAGTCTATTTTTTTTTAAGATTGCTGATGATTATTTCATGATAGGTATGGCGCTGCATTTCTTGGTGTGTACGGCAAGCGAATCCTAATCCTTTTTCATTGCTCCCCTTTAAATATCTTGCAAATTCTATTGAAAGGAGTGAGGTTCCCTTTGTTTCATCTTTTAGAAGGAAGAAGAGTGATGAGGCCTCGACTAGTACTACAAATGAACAGCAGAGCTGGGAACAAGTTAGAAGAAAGGGAAGTACGTGTGGGATTCCTATTTCAAAGAAAAGCATGCCAACAAATGGGTGTGGTAGTAGAAGAAACCCAAATCGCAAAGTAATCTACCTTCCAACATTACTATAACTTCGAGCATTGGTTCGAATGTGAATTCTAATTTAAAAAGCCTTCCCAAATCAGGGGTTCTAGATGATCCGATGAATATTAGTGGGCAGAAGAAACCATTCAATGTTGGTGTAGATATGGAAGCATTTGTAAGGAATTGTCAGGGGCGGCCAGGGTTATCATTCAATGGCCTATTACAGAAAGGGTGCAACTGGGTAGATACATCTTGTGAGAAAGTAAAAGGGAGGACCTGGATAAGACAATACGAGTAGAATACTCTTCTCCGATTGATAGCAATGATATCCAACTGTTATCTATGTTCCATAAAGGATTGATGTAGTGCATGTAGAGGGGAAGATCAATATCCTTGAGAAGGCTGCAAATCTAGATACAAAAGCTCATTATTATAGAGGGTTAGGATGGTTATTTTCAAGGTACATGTCCTCTCTTTTCCTCTAAATTTTTTTTGTTTTCTTATGTGGAAGAGCACAACTTTGCCTCTATTTATACCAATAGAGAGGTAGAATATCATTGTTCATCTATGTTTTTCTTGTTCATCCTTGCACTCAAAGCATACTTTTCAAAGAGAGAGGAAAATGTTCTCTTTGCCTTCCGAAATAATCTCTGTCATTGATAAGTTGTGTGTCCAAGACCTTATTAACGGCACACTATTGTAGAAGGCGCAATAAGGATGTCCTTTTCTAAATGGTAGAGATATTTGCTTCGGAACAACTAACTATTGAAATTTTGAAGATAGCTACAATGGAAAGCCAGATTCTCAAATTTCTCTTCATAGTTTTTGACCCCAACAACCCATCTATTCTGGTAACAAAATCCTCTGATTCCTATAGGGACAATCTCACCTTAAATGGATGAAGAAGAAATCTATTTAGGGGGTTGAGATGAAGGAGAAGGCGAGAGCTATGATCAGGGCCATGACAGTGGAGTACAAAGGCTCTATTAAGATTTCGAAAGAGGCAGCTAAAGAGGAAGAAGGCCAAGCAAAGGAGACACCAAGAAGGAGGTGTACGATGCCACATTGGATTAGGGAGGTCGAATCACTAGTTAAACACTCCCCTTTGTCTGCTGGCCCCTTGGAGGTTGCCAGGAAGGGGACAGACTTCAAATCTAATTAAAGCTCGCGTCTTAGAATGTCAGGGGGCAAGCAGATATCGGTAAAATGGTATCTTTAAGGTGGCCGGTGTCCATGTTTAAGCCACATGCTTTACTCCTACAAGAAACTAAGATGCCATTCCTTGATGC